GATGAGAGAGAAACATCGATCAGCTGCCTCCTGCACATGTCCTAGTGGGTATATGCCCGCAACCAAGGCATGTGCCGTAGACTGGAATTGAACGTGGGACCCTTCAGTCCACAGGCCAATGCTCTATTCACTGAGCCAAACCAGCCAGGGCTCTTCTAAGATTTTTAACTCATTGTCTTGTCATCTAATATGACAAGTCTGCTACTGGTGTAATTTCCGTTGTAGATAATCTGTATTTCTCTCCAGGAAGTTTTCCATGACTTTTTATCTTCAAGATTATTCATGTTGACTTGTTAAATTGTAGATTTGTTTTTATTTTTCTTGCTTAGTATTTGGTATGCACTTTCAATCTGTGGGCTCATGTCTTCAGTTTTGGAAGATTCTTAAATGTGGTTGCATATTGGAATATGGGAACCTATAAAAATATGCTGATGCCTGGCTCCAGTCCCCAGAGACTAATATAATTGGTCTGGAGTGTGCCCTAAGCATTAGGAGTTTCTAAAGTTCCCCAGGTGATTCTAATGTGCAGCCCAGGTTGCTGATCACTGGTGTGATGCATATAAGATAAGAAGGAGGGTGAGAGAGAGGAGATAAGGGGTGACTTTGGAAATGAAGAGTGATGGACACATTGAGTTAAATTTTGGATTAAATCATCTGAACTTGGTGACTGGAGTGTAAAGTTTAAGGAAGAAGAAGTATTAAAGATAACTTACTTTTTCTTTCTTGGGAAAGTAAATGGATGGTATTTCTATAAGCCAAAAGAAGTATGCAGACAAGTAGGTGAATGGGTAAAGATAATGAGTTGGATGTGTATTGAAGTTGAGATATGGAAGGTACAGCTGGGAAAGATGAGTCATAAAGAGCGGGATATTTGAGTCAGGGTTATTGGATATGAATTAGGGAATCATCAGCACGTGGCAGTAATAAATGAAGCTGTGGGAATGGAGTGGATGAGATTACCCAGGGAGCATGTTACAGTGAAAAGGGGAGATCTGAGGCATATTGGTGTCTTGGCAGTGGAAACAGTGAAGGAAATAAAGGGGGTGTGGTCAGAAGTAGGAGGGAAAACAGAAGAGTGGTATGGATGAAGCCAAGTCAGGAAGGCGTTTCAAGCAAAGCCCAACTGGTGGTATGAAGTGCAGGTAGAAGGAATAATGAACCGTAGAGAATGGAGGTGATATCTTATGTTGAAAAAATGCCTTTTCTAACCTATTTTATCTTAACATTTAATATATTTTCATTGTATACACATAGCTTACAAATATATTTCAGAAAAGCCTGATCATATAGTGAGACATTTATTGCAAGTGACAGGAACTGGAGGCAGCTAGAGATCTTGAAAGAATGGTGGAGATTTGGACATCTATGAAGAATGGACACAGGAAATGACTAGAGATGAAGAATTGTTAAGACAGTTTTGAGGCCATGGAGGACCCAGGTGAAATTAGAGATCAGATCAATTTGGAGCCAATTGACATGGTTGTGCCCATCTAAGTGGGCTCAGTAGCCCAGGAATTTAGGCCAGTTGTGATGAAGTAAATTAATTTTAGTTGGGGATTCACTGGTAGACATGGGACAAGGCTAAGAGAAAAATTAATGGTGGATTCAATGAAAGATCAAGAGATTTATCATAGGGTCCAGGCAAATCAGAGAAAGAAGTTGAATCAGCAGAGCTGGCCTGATGGCACAAAAGAATAGGGTGAGGTAAGTGGAGGGCAAGTCTTAAGGAGGTTAAAACCCTCTTTAATGGGAAGGGTGAGAAGTTTGGAGCTCGTAGTCAGAGAGGAATTCAGTGCAACATTTCCAGATCTTGAAGTCCAGGGTGTGATCTTAACAACCATGTTTACATAGTTCACTGAAGTGGGTGGAGATGAACAGCAGTGGAGTAGAGAGCCATGGCCTGGGTGACTGTTAATACTAGTGTCAGTGTTTCTTGCAATGACTCAGGTCAGGTGGAAAGGAAGGGCTGATCTGCAGTATGGATGAAAAAGCAGTATCTGTGAAGCGCCATAAAGTGAGGCACAATCTAACGAGGTTGCCTGCATTGAGGTTTTAATAAGGGTCTTTTTTTTACCTCCTTTTATTTATTTATGTTTAGTCTTTTTTTCACTGTGCTAGGTGTTCAGAAATTTCACCACAGAATGTTTAGGAGTGGGTCTTTTTCTATTAATTCTGTTCAGTTAGACATCATCTCTTTAATTCTGAGCAATTTTTTTATTCCTTTGTTTACTTTCTCTATTTTTTGTTTCTAAAATTTCTTTTTTTGTTTTTGTTTTTGTTAATCCTCACCGAGGATAGTTTTCCATTGATTTTTTTAGGGAGAGTGGAAGAGAGGGAAAGACAGAGAGAGACATCCATGTGAGAAAAACACATTGATTGGTTGCCTCCTGCACGAGCCCTGACCAGGGCCTGGGCTGGAGAGGAGCCTGCTACTGAGGTACGTGACCTTGACCAGAATCAAAGCTGGGACCTTTTGGTCTGCAGGCCGATGCTCTATCCACTGACCCAAACTGGCTAGGACTAAAATGTCTTTATTTATTAGTGAGAGATCTTTGACCTTTTGCTTCTGTTTTCTGTGTATCCCACACTTTTTCTCTGCTGTGGGACATTCTGGAAGAATTGCTTCAGTGGATCTTCTGGCTCCATGAGTTGCTCTGCAACCGTGTCCATTCAGTGTTCAGACCATCAGTTGAATTTAACTTCCGTGATCACGATTTTAAATTTTAAGATATCTTTTTTGTGTGTGTAAGTGTGTTGTCATTCTTGTATTGTCTGAGGATATTCATTTTTTAAAGAACCATTGTGGGCAAGGGCAGGATGAACCTGACTGGCCTTGTCTCTGTGTGTGAGGGCCCTGGTTTGCCTTGGGCACACTGCCCTGCCTCTCTGACCTGAGTGCTCACACTTACTCTCGCATTGGCGGGCAGACACGGTGCTGTCTGCCCAGTCTGAGGTGGGTCAGTAGAAGTGCAGAGGGTTGGCCAGAGAGCTGCTTCCGCAGGAACCTGCTCAAACTTGCCAGATCATTTGCCCTTGATATTTCTGGCTCCGGGCACCAACCATCTTGAGCTTCGAATGTCCCTGGTTTCATTTTTAGCAAGTCTTTTCCTGAGTGTTTTGGGCTGCAGTTTCTCTCCATCTATCTGCTCTCAATGTTTTCTTGCTTTCAGGGAGTTCTTGTGTCTAATCTACGGAGGATTCTTCTCCTCATTTGCAGAATAGTTGTGGATTTCTTTTCTTTAAAAAAAATGCATTTTCCTGTTCATTCTATCGATTTAAGATAGGGGAGAGGAGCCATAGCTTGATGCGTCTGCTGCCCTGACTCAGCCTTCCACTACTTCTTTATACCACAGAATCATGCCATCTGCCTGGTCATATTTCTTTACATTTCTAAAACTCCATTTAGTTGAGAGCTGAGTTAAATAGGTGAAGTCAGTGGTCTCTTCCTTGGTTTCAATAAAAATTGAGGCAGTGATTTCTCCCCCCACCCCCCGCCCCAAAATACGTTTAGCTCACTGAGTTCATTGTGCCAGGAAGTGTAAGTATACTAGTACTAGTGCCTGTTCCTGTATGCCTCCCTTCTTTTTGATCACGGATGAAATCTTTGAAACCTGTCATCTTTCTTTGTGATTTACAAGACAGACTTTCCGAGGTATGTCAACTGTTTGGAAGACAATGTTGTTAAGTATCAGATTTGGCAGATCAGATAGATAATGATGTGCCTGGGAAAGCCTGGGCTATTGATGAGCCCTGTGTCAAAACTGATTGC